ACCACCAAGACTTAGGACATGATAATGTTTTTACTGTGCTCCACTAGACCCCACAAAGTTAATAACAGACAAGGGACAAATTCAAACAACACCCACCTAAAAGAATAGCCCGATACTTCAAGTTGTTTGTTATTCAAAGGTTCATAGTACTAACAAATACTAGAACCACTCTCGTCCACGATAAAGGAAAAATTTGTACTTTACCGTACCCTAAATATTAGTAATATCAAAAAAATAACTTTTAAATTTACGGTGGGAGTGACTTCGAAAACACGAAAAGACGCGTTGCTTGACAAGTTGATTTTGAAAATTTGCAAACATAGATTGCTCTCTACGCAAATACGAGTAAAAATTTCGAAAAAAAAAAATATTTTATAAAATAATATTTTAAAATGAACAAGAAGTCGAGAGAGAAATAAATAAACCAGAATTGTTTACAAGATCATTTTTATTCGTAAAATCACATGGTACATGTAACGCGTACTCCATAAAAAAAAAATTATGATGATCTATTCTATATTAAGAATTCGGTGTAGCATGAAATCCGATATACTGTATTTTTTATAAAAATCTTGGTATTTTTAATCATTGTAATAAATTTATTTATAGCAATACAATATTTATCATACATCCACTACTATTACAGTAAATATTATGCCAATTAAGCAAGAGTGCATGAATAAATGATTCTCATTCACCAACGTGTTCTAATACGTCGTACGGAATTGAATCTTTGAAGAGCACTATAATTCTTATTTTCATCTTGTAGTTCAAAGCGAATATTTTCTTTATAAAACTCGAGCATCTAATAGAACGATACATGATCAATGTTAATAATAAATATGATTAGTTTTATATGATAAATAATACCTTTCGAGGACATTTATTGTGAAGTTCTTCAAGATGATGTCTGGACCTACTTCCCGATTTCCTAAATACATGATCAATTTGGTAAATTTATACTCCAAATATAGGATATACATGATTATTATAAAGAAAATTGACTTTCTTTAAACATACCAATTGAGGTATCCAACAATTCTTCCTTGATCATCAAGTTCAAGAAATCCAACGTTAACGGAATCCTTATCCCAATCAAGACTTTCTTTAGGTTCGCGAATCTCAGCATCGATTATCTTTTTCATCCAAGACGATTCAACCCTTTGCAAGAATATAGGAGGTGGATATAATTGTTGAGTTTGAGAATGAGCAATCGATTGTGTTGTAGTTATAATCGATCTTGCAGTTGATTGTAAAGTTGTTTGTTGCTTTTCATTATCCCATGCATTTCTTTCTTTTCTAGCATGATGAGAATCGTTTGAATTTAAAGCAGTAATGGAACGAGCAGAGTTACTAGAAGATTCCTGATCATTATTAACTCGACGATGACGGATAGACTTTGGAGAATCACTATTGTCCGAAGTATTCGACATTGGACTTTTTTTATTATCACTGAAATCATCTGATTGCATGAATTCATCCTCACTATCATTTTCGCTTTCAATTCTCTCAAAGGGTGATCCCTTCCTAAATAAAGACGTGTTCCTCTTTCTTGATGCTTTTCCTTCCCAATATCGACTAATTAAATTATCAGCGAATCTAACAGATTTTATTTATTTTTTTATTTTTTTGATGACATTAAAAGAGATTAGGACGACTTAAATTATAATTTCTTTATAATGAATTGTAATTGATAAATTATGCTTACACGTTTGCTTGGTCTTCCCACGTGTTATATTCTGATGACCATCCTTCCCATTTCAATAAATATTGTAATTTACCCTAGAACGATATGATAACATTAATAATCCATTAGAATTTAGTCTGAAATAATTAAGGATTACCTTTCTATTAAACTTATGATCAAGCACTTTTTCGACAACATATTCTTTATTGGATTCATCTTTGTTCTCGTTATAATTATAATCATTATCAATTATATCCTGCACTACATTTTCTTGAACCAATTTTTTTTCTTCAATGGTTTGTTCTACATCTACAAAGCAATCGATGTTTTCAACTTCATCTTTTACATCGTGAAAAGGTGCCGGATTATCGTTGATTGACATTCGAGAGAATTGGTTTACCGGGACACCAATATCAGGATGATCATTCCTAGCAGCCAACTTTGAGTAGGCGATAGCAAAGAATTTTGGATTATTGTTGTTATGATTATTGAAAAAAGACATGATGAATTCAACTTTCTTAAAATGATGAATAGAAAATCTTTTTTGTAACAGAAAAAAAAAAGGAAATGGAAAAATGCGGTTATTTAAAAGAAAATATTATGCAAATTCATCATATTTAATAGTCATTTATATGATGACTGTATCATTATCAATGATTTAATTTCCGTGATTTACGTTTGATAGATATATTGATAAACTCGCGTTGGCAAAATTTTCCACGTGATCATACATTTATTAAAAAAAAAGGAAAGATAAATAGTAACTTATATATAGTATTGTGAAATTATTTTATTTATTGCAATTGTCATTTACATTTAATGAAAGTTTTATATATAATTCTAAATTGCAAAAAAAAAAAAATCAAAAATTATACATTGTTGGAATGCGTTTATAAAATGTGAAAAGAATGTGAAAAATAAATTAATAATGAAGGGGATTCTATGAAAGTGAATTTCTATATGATGAAAATGCAAAAAAAAAAATAGTATACATTGATTGATGAAATGCAAATTATGATAATGAGTGTGAAAATAATATACAATGAAGAGTTGTTTTTTTATGTTAAAAGTTATTAATAAAGGATGCTTTTGTTTTTTTTTTCTTTTCCTTACTCTTGTTGTCGTTGTTGTTTGACGACGTCAACAACCTCTCTCAATAATTTAAGACTCCTATCATCACCGAGAAGAGCAGTGTGAAAAGCATTCATAACATAAGCGAAACCAATTTTTAATTCTTGATTCCATAAGAACATACTACCACCGGAACCACCCCAACCTAAGAATTCAACATCTTCTAAACCTTTAAGGCGGAAATAACCAAAACCACCAACAGCTGGAGTGATGGTCTCTTGTAACACTTGATCAAATACAGGATCAAGACGAGTAGCGATTAAATCATAGGTAGTATTTGAAATTAATTGAGGTTCCTTTAATTGAGAGTTTAGTTGTACATCAAGAGGATATTTGTCGGTTGGAAGACTTTCTCCTTTATTTGCCATAATGGCAGCAAGTTTGGCCATGGATCGAGAATTGGTTACACCATTATAAGAAGGACCTTCTGGAATCAACATTTCCATCTTATTCCAATCTTGTGGTTGAGCACGATCGGGAGATGTTAATACCAAAGATTTAAAGGCAACGGAATCTTTATTCATCATTTGAGGGAAGATCGGATGTAATGGTTCGCTAATCATCCATTCAGGTAAAATCAATTTAGCCAACATTCTTACCAAAGGGTAAGCATAAATACTTGCTAAACGATCTTTAAGAGCTTTTCTCGTGTTTAAATAATATTCGATATTGTATTGTGGTGCGATTTCTTCGGCAACGATCCTACCAATAGTACGATGGCGTGGATCAACTCTCCTTACAATTTCATTCAAGTACCAACCACGAGATATACCGTGATACGCTCTTACTGGATTACCATTGAAATTATGAGGTTGTTTGGCGAGCAATTCCGATAAATCGTCAAGATTATATAAATCTTTAATTGAAATATCAAAAGAATCGATATAACCTACACCGGCTCTATGTACCATTAAATCCAAAAGGGTAACTTCCTCTTTACCACCTTGAGCGAATTCGGGCCAGTATTCGGCAATTGGTGTATCATAATCTAGTAAACCTTGTTCAACCAATCTTGCTATAACGATACCACTAAGTACTTTTGTACTAGAAAATACCAATTGCAAAGTTTTTTCATCATAAAGTTTTCCCGTGGAAGTATCAGCGATTCCGCCAGATAAATCAACGACCAATTCATTATTATAATAAACGCTAAGTTGTGCCCCAATATCTTGTCCACTCTCAAAGTTTTCCAAGAATAATTGTTGAACATTTGAAAATTCCTCGGTAGTAAATCCATTGATGACGGTCGATGGACAACCTATGCTAATCAATTGACATGATAATGGATGGAATGGCCCTCCATTAACGTATCTGTACAAAAAAAATAAATGTAATAAAATGCTAAAAAGTAATATCTTTTTCCTTGAAAATCTACCACGAATGGTACGAATAGGTATAGCGGAAAAAGGGGGTAATTTATCTCGAATTTGATTTATCGAATTGCTTAAAATATTTATGTATGGTAAGGATTTTTCGGGAAGGTAAGGTGTTAATTTGGAAAAGGATGTCTTTTTAGCGGATTTTGGAGTTGTAATAACATAAGTTTTTACAATGGGTAATAATGGTGTTTTTTCACTTCCATTTTCTGTGATTATCATAGGTTCCATTTCAATATCTAATGAAGGCATTTTGAAAATGTTATTTATATTTCTTAAAAGGGCAAATTTAAATAAGAAATAGCGTTTTTTTTATTTTTTTTGTAAAGAATGCAATTGATTTTGCTTTTTTCCCCTAAAAAAAAAACAAATTTTTTTGGATTGTTTTTGTCAGAGACAATAGTTTTTTTCGTTGTATTTATTAAAAAATTTTCATAACGTATATAAATAGAACAAATCTTTTTATTACTATTTTGTTTACACGACTTTCATAACTTAAAAAAATTATATCATATTTCTTTGTAATTAAGATTAATTAGTGGTTCGAACTTTATTTTCATACACAAAGAATATAAATTTTTTTTTTTGTTTTTAAGAACAAAAGAACGTTAATCATTTATTGCATTAACAAACAAGGAAGGTTACCATACTAGCGAATCAAAAAAAAAAAAAATTTAAAAAAATTTCTTTATTTGGAATACTGGTTTAAAACAGTTTTTTTAAAAAAGACAAAGGAAAGCTCCTGTTTACTCATTTAAATTCGGTAACACAAACACACCTGCTTTTAATTTTTCTTAAAAGGAAAAAAATATATTAAAACTTACCATATAAAGGTCAATGTTATGTTGATCATTCGTTAGGTTTTTTGTTTGAAAAACATCCACATGTACTTGATATCCCGTTAAAGAAATAATAAATTGTCTTCATAATGATAATTTGATTTTATAATCATCTTCAATTAATCTGCTCGCTCTCCAGGCAACCATACCAGTAGGCGCATTGGTATTACCAGCAGGTATGGTTGGGAAAATTGAAGCATCAACCACGCGTAAATTTTCGCATCCATACACACGTAATTTATGATCTACTACCCCCCCTTTCTCTTCTGGTGCCATCTTTACCGTACCACACGGATGAAACGATGTAAATAACTAAATCATTAAAATAAAGAAATATAAATAAATAAAATAAAAAAAATAAAAGGGTGTTACGATATTACGTTTTTACTGAGAAATTCCTCCCAATCATCATCATTCAACTCATCTCTGTTTTTCATTTTCTCCTTGATTTCCTTTTGTACGCCAGAATATTCGTCATATAATCCAACTTCTTTAACTTTCCATTTAGCTAAAGCTGGTTGTTTTAGTAATTCTAAAGTTAATTTAAATGAACTAATCATTTTATATATATCTTCAGCTTGATCCAAAAAATTCAAATAAATTTTAGGAGATTGAAACGGATTTGAACTAGTCAATTCTAATCGCCCAGCACTTTTTGGTTTATTCAAGACAGGTGCTAAGGTTATCGCATCTCCTGTATATGACATTAATTTCGGATCCCATATAGTAGATGCAGCTAACAAAATTTTATTTTCTTTAATAAAAAATTTAGCACTATAAAGGAAAAGAAAGTTTTTAACCGAGACATTTACCTGTTAATTGAATATCCGGACGATCGTGTAATAATTCATCTCGAGATGGTAATCTTCCCTTGTCGTTAGCTTTAAAAAACATTCCAACTTCCGTTCCGCTTGACCATTCATGTAATGTTGTATTCATGGTAGAATTTGGTACTTCGGTTCGTATCGTAACGAATCCTAATGGATGATCTAATAAATTTTTACCAACGGGTAAATCCTTTCTCACATCAATTTTATGAGAATTCAATTGTTTTTTGGGACCAATTCCTGACAACATTAATATCTAAAAAATGAGAAAGAAATTTAATTGTAATTCTAAAGCAACAAAGCATTACAATGAAATCTTTATATATTTACTTGAGGACTATTAATAGCCCCAGCACAAAGGATTACTTCTCCTTTGGGTGCAACATACGCTTCGTGTAAACAACCTTGATAAAAGTATTTGACACCTTTAGCGACGTTCTTTTTCCCTTCCTCAATAGCCGAAAGGTTGTCACTATCCCAAAGTATATTTAATACGTGAGAAGTAGATTTAACATTAACAGCCGATAATTTTCCTGTTCCATGTGAACAACCATATGGCCCTCCGATCGGTTTAAAAGGTGGATATGTTATTGTTCTTTTATTTAATGCTTCTTTAAGGAACCCATTTGCAAATGAAGATCTTTGTCCATCCTTTGAAGTTAACTAATTTTTTTTTAAAAAAATGAATCTTTAAGTTGCTTATAAAATTTATTAATAAACGAGTATATACGAACCACTATTACCTGATATTTTCCTACCCCATTTTGTTTGGTTCCATTAAAATCTTTATTAAATGGTATACCTAATTGTTTAGCAGCTTCAATTGAATCCTTTAAGATATCAAAGGTTTCAAGATAATCTTCTACATTTAACAATCCTTCTTGTCCGTGATAATATTTAAATTCATCATCTTGTTCTTTCCTTTGATTATTCTCTATCGCTTTAAATGCTAAATATAATTAATTAAATAAATAGGTTATTAAATTTTATTAGGTTAAATAAATTATGTTCTTTCCTTTAATTTACCTTCAAGACATTTATCCCAATTCCAATATTTCCTGTAATCAGGACCTTGTGATGCCCATTCTTCATAATCAAGTTGATGACCTCTTATATATATCATTGCATTAACACTACTACAACCTCCCCACACTTTGCCCCTCGGATAGATAAATGATCCCACGTTCATCGTTTTACTTGGATCCGTACAACTTTGTATAGTTTGTGGTTGCGTAAAATATCCCCAATCAACTTCTAATGTTTTCCAAATCTAGGAAAGATTCTTTTTTTTTAAAAAAAAAAAAGAATCTAAAAAGTACTAGAATATGTTTAAAAATCAAATCGTAGATTACTTACACTAGCATGAGAGGAAACCGAACAAATACGATCATTAATTTGAGCAGGAGGCGGCCCGGCTTCCAATACTAATATATTTATGTTAGGCAAGGAATGAATTAATTCTTTAGCCAATACACATCCTGCGCTACCAGCACCGATTATAATAAAATCATAAATTTCTTTTGGTCGAGTAAATATGATCCTATTTGTATATTCTACGCTTTGTGACCATAATTCTCTTGCTTTTGCTTCTTGTTGAAGTTGATGAAGCCTTCGTTCCACTTGTTCAGAATTTGAGTCTGAAACTTCGGCTTTATGAAGTGATGAAGAGGATGGTTTTAAAATCGATTGATTTAAAGAGATATCATTAGCGCTAGATGGTTGAATGTTTTCTACTGAAGTTGATTGATTTGGAGAGATATTATTATTGATAAGTGGTAAATAGAATGATGGTGGTGGTGGTGATGTCGATGATGATGGGGATGATGACGTTGATGATGTGATACTGTACTCTTTTTGATCTTTAGGATTTATTTTTGAACTTTTATATCTACTTTGAATAAAATTTTTGATCGGAGAGGAATGTGCTCTTTTACTTCGTAATACATTCAAAAGTGATCTTGTATTAGAACCGTGTATCAACCGATGCATTTTTTTTTTTTTTTTAAAAGAATTTTGGGTGTTTATATATTTTATCAATTTCACGTGAATATTGGGTTTCGTCATTTGAGACTATCAAGGATTTGGTATGGTCACTTGGCTAGCACAATGATGCCAATATATAACGATATCCTTTTTTAGCAAAGTTCTACCAAATTGAATAAGCTCCCGAAAAATGTCGGGTTACTACAAAAATATAAACCTAAATGAATGAAAAACGAACACTAAAACCTTATTTAAAATGTCGCAGTCGAGAATGTTGACATGTTTAAAAATTTTATATGTTTTTCTTCATATGTAAGTAAAGCACGGAACTCGGAAGAAGAATTATGCTCATTCGATTGAATTTTTTTTTTTCTTTAAAGATAGGTATTATTGAATATATTTTTGGTTTATTTTAGAATACGATACTTTGATAATTGCAAACGATTTATTTAGTTTTCGGATTCAAATGACAATTGAGACGTCTTCCCAAGATAAAGTATTTAATATTTGAACTCGATTCTAATAAGAACTCTCGTGAAAAAAAAATGCAATGGCGTTCTTTCAGGTCGAAATTTAATTTTAAAACTTTGTCATCATAAATATTACCTCATGCACAAAAAAAATCTTTAACTGTATATATATAGGTTTACAATTTATTTTAAGCAAAATATGTATACATTTACTAATTCGAGTAAATCAATGATTATGCTATGGCACCATCTACTTTTATCATATGAGTAATTAAATCCAAAACGCGCGTAGAATACCCATCTAGTAAAAATATATAAGTTTGAAACATTAATAAATCAATAATAAATATGAAAATGAAAAAAAAATAATTAAGAAAAAAATACTTACATTCATTATCGTACCAAGCAATAAGTTTAACAAATGTAGGACTTAATTGTATTCCTAAAAAAAAAGTTTTAAAAAAAAAAAAAATTGAAAGAAAAATGAAAGAAAAAAGAAAATTTTTGATTACTTACCAGCCTTCGCATCAAAAATACAAGAATGAGAATCGCCAATAAAATCCGAAGAAACGACATCATCTTCAGTGTAACTCAATACACCTTTCAATTCATTTTCCGAAGCTCGTTTAACGGCTTGTTTAATTTCTTCGTAGTTAGTTTCTTTTTCCAATCTCAGTGTTAAATCTAATACAGAAACAATAGTAGGCGGAACCCTAAAGGCCAAACCGGTCAATTTTTTGTTTAATTCAGGAATCACTCTACCAACAGCTTTAGCTGCTCCAGTTGAACTTGGTATAATATTTTGTGATGCTCCTCTACCACGTCTCCAATCCTTAGACGAAGGTCCATCAACGGTTTTTTGTGTGGCTGTAGTGGCGTGTACGGTTGTCATCAATCCTTCCAAGATGCCAAAATTCTCTTGAATTACTTTGGCTAAAGGCGATAAACAATTTGTTGTGCATGACGCGTTGGAAACAATTTTATATTCTGGTTTATATTGATCCGAGTTTACTCCTACTACAAACATTGGACAATCTGCTGGTGATGATATAACCACCTATAACATGTATGGGAAGGAGTTGAGTGAGAAGATAAAAGAAAAAATGGCATCATTTATCTATATCATATGTATTCATACCTTCTCGGCGCCCTGTATAATTATCGATCAAAAAGTGTATTGAAAATCGTTAAGTAATTGAACCGATGATCGAAATGATGAAATATATAAAAGATATCACAAACCCCTTTTGAAAAAAAAAGTAAAAATTAAAATATTTTACACAAGATAATTAAATGCGAAGTTTCCAGTAAATTCAATTCATGAGATATACTATCTACCTTTAAGATGAGCAGATGATTTTTCGGTGGAAGTAAAAGCACCACTTGATTCCACAACAATTTTAACTCCAACTTCTCCCCAAGGAATTTCTTCGGGATTTTTCTTGGTGAATACACAAACTTCACTTTCATTAATAAATAATTTTCCGCTCTTTACTTCGACATCTCCTTTAAACCTTCCATACGTGGAATCATATTTAAACAAATAAGCCTAATAATATATTGATAGTCATAAAAGTAATTAACAAATCACCGAATGCACACACGTTACGGAAATAAAGATAACTTTGATCATTACCATGTAATCAAGGTCAATGAATGGATCATTGATGGCTACAATCTTGATATCGGGATAATTTTGGGCGATACGAAGAACCAACCGTCCAATTCTTCCAAACCTAAAAGAGGAAGGTGATTATTAATGACGTTTTCACGTGATTATAGATCCAAATAAATTTGCAAGATACCCATTAATTCCAACTTTTGTAACCATGATTATAATGATGCAAAGCGTATGTATGGATTGAATTTATTTCCTTGGATAAAATCCATTGCAAAAAAAAGAAACGGCCAGTCATTTATATACTTTTTTTTATTTACATTCAAAAAAAATCATACTGTTCGATTTAATGACTTAAGAATTTATTTTAAAACGAATTTTTAATTTAATCATCCAATAAAAAAAGATCTTTTATTTAGATCTTGTTTTTCGCACAAACATTGAATTACAAATTCATTGATTGATGATGTACAATTCCTAATTTGAAAAATTAAAAATTAATCCAACCAATCTGAAGGTTTTATGGAAAACGTGAAATTTATGAGTATACCTTGTTTGTTTGCTTGCGTATCTCGTAATGAAGAATCAAAAATCATATGTTATCGGAACAATTAAAAATGTAATTCATTTTATAATTTTGTGTAAATTTAAGTGTAATCCATGATGAATGATATCGATAAAATTTAAATAGATCACTTGGTTTACAAATCCTTGTAAATTATCTAACCTCTTAAAGAATTTCATATTTCATTTGGACCTTCCCTATAAAATTTCATTTTTCAATATACAGATATTAATTTTGATATATGTTAGCTTTTATAGCCTTAAATTAAACAATGTTTGGATCATTTTTATCATAAGCTTTAACTTTAGACAGACTATTATTGGTATTTATTTACTAATGACTATCATAAAATATAAATATATTTTTATTTTAATTAATTTAAGAATTTTTTTAAAAAAAGAAGCCGATAATTTTATTTTTTACAAGTAAAAATTAGATGCCGGTCATGACCGGTCATGATATCGGTCGGTCAAAGGTTTCTGACCGACCGATTTTGACCGATTTTGACCGACCGGTTGACCAAACATTTTTTAATTAGTAATACAAGAATTCTTTGCATTTAGTTTTTATAATTAAAATTTTTTAATTTATTTTTTAAAAAAAGTTCGTGATAATGCTGTAAATATGAAAGTAAACTTAATATGCATATCGAGTTAGGCTAAAAGAAATAAGTTAAATATATAAAAATTCGGAGTTTTAGCAAATACCATGTTAATATTATTTAAAGCTTAAATTAAAATTAATTATCATGAACTTTAAATTATATTATTGTTATATGGGCTGGTCAACTGGTCAATATAACCGGTCGGTCGGTCAAAAGCCTTTGACCGACCATGTACAAACCGTTGACCGACCATTACCATCCCTAGTCCATTAGGGCACTGACAGATATTACCTAATATCTTAGGGGGTGGGGGGGTTAACGAAAATCTTAGGTTACTCATAATATGCTAATCACGTGATAATACTTTATAGATCACTGATAATCATTTGATAAAGTGGCTTAGCAAAAATTTGT